ATACATATATATTTTCTTCTAGTGACTGACTTGACACCAGAGAGTGAAGATGTTGGAGGCAGTGAAATATAAAAATACATAGCATGTTGATGTAAATGCGTGTCAGGTGAGAACGGAAATACTGTGCAGTCCGTTGTTTCCTTTGAAGGATTGTCGGTTATAGTTTCTAAAAAACGCTTGCAAGCAACAGTGAAAGGAAACATGTAAGTAAAAGCCAACCCCAGATTCACTTTCATTTGGTGTTTCACCTCATGTTATTTGTGTTTCTCTGGTGCCGTGACTCTTGCATGTGTGCTGCTTATGGTCAGGCACCTGGTTGCTATCTTTTTAGACTCACCTGAGCGTGAACAGAACACAGAAAGTAAGGAAATACAGGCAGAGTCTCTTCTACTGGGTCATAAGTAGACTATATGTTATACATTATACTTTGTTTTTTAAAAAACATCATCAAGAGTATATTTTTAAATTTGTAATCCGCCCTCGATGCCTTCACACTCAAATCTAAGCACATGAAACACTCACAACATAAAGATGCAAATTTCAGTATATATTTTACATTTTCACAAAAGGTTCACTTGAACGTTGCATATTTGACTTTAGATGTACAGTTTCTCCTCAGAGTCTGTGGGCCAAACAGAAACACCTGCACAGTCTGTACAACACCTGTAGCCAATTAACATCAACACTCCTGCCAAGTTTCCATCAGACACACACTGAATCCTCCGAACTTCTTTGTCTGCCACCATCGAGGTGTCAGCTCTGACAGCTGAACTGAGAAGTAAAGAACAAAGAAAAGAAGATAATTTTAGCCTCAGCGTAGTTTTGGAACGTATCTCATGTTACAGTAGAGCAGAGCTAAATGTGACTGGTGGCTGCAGATACACTGAGCTGTGTGTTAAGGTGTATTCGTCTGTGCTCAGTCTAAACCGCCAGTTTAAGACCTGAAAGAAGAAGAAGCTGAACAAATGCTTGAGTTAGGAGATATCTAATTATTTAACAGACAGTTTTATAATTCAAATTATAATCCACAAATGGATATAGATATAATCCATCTCCATACAAGTGACTCAACAGAGGAGGTAATCATCACCGTTTAGAGGTGTTTACACTTTTTGATGGACCGTTGCATCGTTAACTTTACCTGTGCAGAAAAGGGAACATCAGGATCATCACTCACATCATGGTGCGCAGCGTCGAATGATGTGTCACTGTCCAAATACTGGGAGACATGCTTATTTTGTGTGGAGGCGGTCATTTGATCGTGACGGGATAATGAAGACAAATGTCTCTGCTCTGCTGTGATGAAGGTGAGATCTGATCCAGAGGAGGTCAGAGTGTCTGAAGCCTGGAGAAGATTTGTAGGCAGCAGTGACTCTTGGCTTGTTTGCTGTACACACAAGCTTTAACTCTAAACCCTCCCTGCTACACTGAGGGGGGTGAAAGGAGGTGCTTTACTTTATCAGTGCAGTCTAACCTCTTAGACTTGAGCACAAAGCAGACATGCATGTTTTATTTTTACCTTGTGAGTAACAGAGACAGACCTGCCGACTCTTCACCTCTCACCCTTTAGTTTCACGCTGATATTTTAGGCGACTCCTCGACTGTGTTGAAGCTGCTGACCTGCAGATAGAGACGCATGTTAGTTAATCATTAGGGACTTAAAGAGAAAAGTTTTCCATATTAAAGTGTCTAAAAGTGGGATATACTTTGTCAGTGGCATCAAACACCATTTGCACATGCGTCAAAGCTGTGGTTTTCTGCTAGAGGCTGTCATAAGTTGACATTTATCTACTTTTAAGCCACATTTTTTATACACTTTTTAAATCTTGGTCTTTTTTAACTGTATATTTTGACCAGGGGTCTCATTATAAACATTGTGTACACACAAAACAAGTCCTAACAGAGGCATACGCCACTTCCCACGCAAAAGTTATGATCTATAAAAACAGACTTGATGGGAGAAACTTTGACACAGTAAATTGGCGTCGAAGATGGTGAGTTGGAAGCCTGATTTATTGAGTAATTGTCAAATATTTTTTGGTTTAATATGAATGCTATGAACTGTTTTATAAATGAGACCCCAGATGAAGGGTTTTAGTCATCAGATGTCTGGCTCTTAAGTTATCAGAGACAAACTAAGCAAACATCAGCAGCAACTCTGCTTTAGCCCCTGCTGCGCCAAACAGCATTGGAGAAACACTGAATTTTAATTTAAAACTGCTTTATTCAGTGTTAATACTGGTTTAACTCACCAGGCTTGTTTGTTTTGGAGGGGAAGAGACCTCTGTGGATAATTCGGCTCACAGTAAAAACCTCCTGAATGTTTGGATTTTGTTATCAGAGTAAAAAGATGAGCATGCATTAGTGCAAGCTTGGATAACAGCCCCTCTGCAATGAGCCAAACATCATTGGAGAATCACTGATTTTAAACATGAAACTGCTTTATTTGTGTGTTTATCACTTTCAATTAGCTGGTCTGTTTGTTTTGGAGAGCAGGAGACCTCTGTGGATAATTCAGCTCCTGGTAAAAACCTCCTGAACGATGAACACTAAAGGAATCCTGTCAGAAACTGACTGCAATGACAGCATTGCTCCCGTTTTTGTTATTGTGTTGATTGAGATATCCTGAGAACAAAAATGACATATTGTATGTTTAAAGCTGTTATGATCAATATTTTCATATTGACAATTATTGAAGGAGAGATTAGAAGATGTTGGTAGGTGGATTCTGATATAACTGAAACCAGGCTAGCAGTTTCCCCTTGTTCCCAGTCTTTGTGCTAAGCTAAGCTAACAGGCTGCTGACAGAGAGTGGTATTGACCTTCTTCTCACTCTTGTATTTCCCGAAATGCCAAACTATTTTTAGAAGACACGTCAGCAGATTCTTATGGGGATCCTTTTAACAATAAACAACATGTTTATTATTGATCATGTGTCAATATTGTGTTTACAGCTTATTGCACTGGACCCGAGTGCCCAGAAATCAATAATGGGTTTAAAAAGAGGGAGAAAGAAAATGATCTCAGGCTGCTGAAGTCTCACGTTATAGCTTAAAATGTACTTTAGAACAGTGGTTCCCAGCTGGTGGATCACGGGTCTGTTCTGCATGGACCACAAGTGACTTAGTGACAAGTTTGTAAAAGACACACTTTATTTTTATGTACAGTGAATTTTCAGCACAGAGCATTCAAGCTCAGACAAACAAAATTTCACCTTCTCCTGATATGTGAATCAAGTACGCAGGAAAGTCTCCACAATGAAGCTGATCATCCAACACACTGTCACCCCGACTTGTCACATATCAACATTTGGTCATGGACTTTCCACATCCAGATATGACGTCCGAGGTACCCTGGGTGTGTTGGTTGTTGATGTTATGGGACGCCGTGTCAACTTCAGCCTGTTACATGCATTGTCTGTTTTCAAAATACACTTCCGTTTTCACAGGAAATGTACAGTTTGCATACAGTCTCTTTCAAAATAAAAGCACTACATCAGTACAGCAACGCAAATTGATGTTTTTTTTCCTCCAACAACACAGGCAACAAAAGCTCGTGGCTGGGTTTGGGAAAACAGAACAGGGTTTGGCTTTATGATCTTTTGGGACGCTAATAAACTATAAATTAAAAAAAAAAAAAAAAAATTAACCCCACTCTCCTAAATGAAAGTCGGTGTTTGTTGGACCCATCCACCACCACTCTGTCCCACCCTTCTCAGACTTTTGCCACCTTGAATTTCGCTCTTGTCCCGCCGTGTTTCTCTCTTTTTTCGTCAGTGTCTGATGCCACAAGTCGCTACCCAGTGTCTCCTGAGTGAGAGCAGGTTTGGTCGGCTGTGGCTCAGAGGTAGAGCAGGTCGTCCACCAATTGAAAGATCAGCGGTTCGATCCCGGGCTCCTCCAGGCTGCATGTCGAAGTATCCTTGAGCAAGATACTGAACCCCAAATTGCTCCAGATGGCTGTTCCATCGGTGTGTGAGGGTGTTAAAACTGAGTAGCAGGTGGCACCTTGTATGGAAGCCTCAGCCACCACTGTATGAATATGTGTGTGAATGGGTGAACGTGACTTGTAGTGTAAAAAGCGCTTTGAGTGGTTACTAGATGACTAGAAAGGCGCTATACAAATGCAGGTCCATTTACCATCATCAGGTTTTTCCACAGACATGGAAAACCTAAAAAAGACATGGAATTTCAAAGTCACACTTTCCAAGCCTGGAAAAGTCATGGAACCAGTCAAACTTGTTGAAAGTTTTGGAAAAGTCATGGAATTTTGTTGTGTTTCATGAAATTGTTAGAATAATCTTTCATGGATAACCATCCATGTAATGTAGACTTAACACCAAATTTATTTTCTTTAGTTGTTGAAGTATCGTAGCTCTAATATGCGTTGATGTGTGACAACGTTTTAGTTAGTACGTTTTGTCATTTTCTATCTGGGTTCATGTCTGCCTTCCTGTGTGCCAACCAACTGAAAGTATGTTTGAACAGAGTTTGAATCTGATATGTTCAAAAGAACGTCAGGCAAGTGGGGCAAGAAAAAAAAACTACTATGGGTCCTTGAAAAGTCACGGAAAAGTTTGGAAATTTTGTTCGTGGAAATGTGTGGGATTATATATTTTTTAATCTCAGGACTGTGTTCTTAACATTCAAACGCATCACTCTCTCTCTGTCTCTTTCCTCGTGTAGGACGACCTCTACATGTTTGGCGGGAAGCTGGAGGCAAAATCCGTGAACGTGACTGATGAGCTGTGGGTGTTCAACATCCCCAGGCGCACCTGGTCGCCACGCAAACCAGCCCCGCCTCCTCCCTACGCCCTGGAGGGGCACACCGCTCACGTGGTGGAGCTGGCCGACGGTGAGCCGGTGATGCTGATCTTCTTTGGCTACTCGCCAATCTACAGCTACATCAACAAAGTCCAGGAGTACAACATCAGTAAGTGCGGCTGCTGACTCTGCGCTCATCGATTGTTTTTCTTTGGTGATTGTTTAATTGCTTTTTATTGATGGGAGTCAAACACAGAGACTCGTCGAGCTCTGTTTCCAGAGAGTCTTCACACAGGTCTTTGGGTTTTAACACAGACTCCTTGTCATGGTTGGTATTTTAAAAATGATTTTAAGATGGACCAGGCAGAAATTAGCACTCTGTGACTCTGCTCTTACGACTACAACCCTAGCAGCTGCATATAAAACACAGTAGAGTACAATGGAAACACCACACAAGCTGTCGTCATGTTACTAGCGATGCCATCCCACGCTTACATCATTCTTTATTTATTAAGCACACATGGCCTGAAGACACAGGCAACAAGTTCAAATGACTCGAGACTTGCATCTAATCAGCCGGCGCTCACACAGCTTTCTTATTTCAGCTTCTTATTTTAGATATCAGACTGAAAAGATTTACTCCTCAAACAACTCTATCCTACAATCTTACATTTAATGTAAGATTGTTGAGTTTTTTAAATGTATTTTTTGGCACCACAAGCCGAGTGCCATCTAGTTCCATTATATTGGTGAGAAAGCACACATCTCTACCGAGGCCAGGCATTGTTCTGCACCAGGAGGAACCCAGGGCCCATTGCACCAGCGTAAGGTCTGACAGTCGCTCTGAGGATTTCATCCTGGTACCTAACAGCAGTCAGGGTACAGTTGGCTATGACATGGAGGTCTGTGCGACCCTCCAAGGATACGCCTCCCCAGACCATCACTGACCAGGCAGCGTAACATTCGCCTTTTTGGGGGGTGTCTTGCTTTTGCCTCTCCATTGCACCTGTTGTCACTTTGATTTGCACCAAAGCAGCTGAAACTGATTCACAATCACTTGTGCTTCCTCAATGGACACATTGATATCCCTGAAGTTTAACTGACTTCCTGTTAGACCGTGCCCATGAAGTGTTCCCTTCTTTTTTAAGCAGTGGCAATAGCACTACAGGAAAGAGGGAAAATAGGAATATGTATTGAGTTTACGGTGAAGCTGTCCCTTAAAATGAAAGTAACTTAGTATCTGGCAGAGAACTTGGCAGGAGCAGAGGCTTTGGTTTTTGGAAGGACATGTTTAACTCACACATGGGTCTAATATTTAGTTGTCCTCATACTTGTGGCCACATTCTGCGCTTGCATTTATTTTTGTTTCCTTGTTTGGCCAGTAGATGGCAGTGTCACACAGTGTTGTAAACCAACAGGCAAAATGAGAGGAAAACACACACATGTACACACCGTTCATCAGACTCACAACACACACACACACACACACACACACACACACACCCACACACACACACACACACACGGTCATTAAGCAGAGGTGGTACCCAGGCCGGAGAGTCTGGGAGAAGACAATGATTAATGAATTCAGCACATTCCCTCACTCTCCCTCCTCCCTGCCAGTCTGTGTTTCCATTTGTCTCCCTCTTCCTCCTCTACACTCTCTCATCCCTTTCTTTTCCTCCAGGCCTCAGTTTCTGACCCCCTCTGTCATCGCTCCTCCTCGGTCCCCGCCATCTCCTGCTCCTCTCCCTCACCTCTTCCTTCCTCCTCTCCCCTCACTTTCATCTCCGGCCACCTCTATCTCCTCCCTCCCTCCTCCGTCTCTGACAGTGTCACGGCGTAACGCTGCACTGAGCATCATTAGGCTTCAGAGGGAGCGACTTAAAGAGTTGCTGCAACCTGGAAATGAACAGAGGGGAGTAGAAGCGGAGTGTAAATTATGAGGTAAAAGGATTTAATGACCACTCAAAGAGGCAGGTTCACAGCAATTAGCTGCCAGAGATGAGATAAGAGTTGACCTTCTACTTTCTTGTCGTCTTGTTCACAGTTGCCCCGTCTTCTATTGCTGTTCCTCGCTGTTTGTCTCCTCCTTTTTTGCTCTTTATTAGAGTCTTTATTTGTGCTCCTGTGTTCTGCTGTCTGTTGTTGACTTTCTTGCTTTTACTCTTTCAGTGCTCAAGTTTGTTGGCATGATGTTTTCATCAAGCAATAAGTTGCCAAAGCCAAAGAGTCTGATATTTGAAGTTTTGATAAAAGATAATGATACCCAGTGGACAGAATTGGCCTAAACTCGGCATGCCGGATGAAATTAGCTGGGTTGGGTCTGATTGCCCGACTCGGCATGAATGATGCCCCAGGATTGGGCCAAACCAGCTGGCCCGATTCCGGCTGCCATCACTGGGCCGTTATCAGAAATGACCTGGCCCAGCATTGGCCTGAGCTTGGCATGCCGGATGAAATTAGCCGGGCAGCATCTAGTTGCCTGACCCGGCTGAAACTGGGAATGAATGATGCCCCAGTATTGGGCCAAATCAGCCAGTTCTGGCTGTCTATAGTCAATATTTTGAAACATGGATAAACATGGAGGCGCCCAGTAGCTCAGTGGGCAGAGCATGCCCCCCATGCACAAAGTCAGAGTCATTGCCACAGTGGCGTGGGCTCAATTCCAGCCCACAGCCCTGCATGTCATCCCCTCTCTGTCCCCCTTCACGCTTCAAATTGTCCCGTCATTAAAGGCAAAATCCCCCCCGAAAATGATTAAAAGAATATATCAAGTCAAAGAATCGTAACTGTACTAATAATAATATAATAATACACTTTATTCATATAGCATCTTTCATACAAGAAATGCAGCACAAAGTGCTTTACAATGAGGGCACTATAATAGTTATAATGAACATAAACCAGGCAACGCAATTCAATATAAAAGGACATTTAAAGCAGTTTAAAACATGGATTAACTGACTCATAAAATCATAGAGTTGTAAAACTATAAATCAAGAGTTGCAGCAGTGTGAAGCCTAAAATGAACGAGTGTCAGACCTGTATCAGGAGGTCAGAGTGAGTTAAAGACTAAAGTGAACAGATATGTTTTTAGCTTTCTTTTAAAAATATTTAGTGAGCAGCTTCCCTGATATGTAGAGGTAGTGTGTTCAATAGCTTTGGGGCGTCACTGACAAAGGCTGCATCCACGATCCTCTGACTGTTTTTCCATGTTTAGGGAATTCTGTAGGGATTTAATCTTCACATCTTCCATGTCACAGTGTGTGTAGAATATTTTGTCTTCCAATGTTTGACCACTGGTTTCTATGGTGACTCGTTCCAGCAGCCACTTTGTGATCACTCTGTCTGTATTTGGTTACAATACAATAATGTGCATCTGTCTCTGTCTTTCTCTTTTTCAGCTGTCCTTTTTGTCATATTTTCTGTCTTTCTTTCTTTGCAGTTTATTTTCTTGGTTCTGTGTGTTTCTTTGTCTTTTTGCTGGTTTGCAGATTTTCTCGAAACTTTTAGATGGAGTCCAGAAAGTTTAGTGAAAAGGTCGGCCAAGAGCCAGAGGAGAAAGTTGAGGTTTTTTTGGTGCCAGTAGCACCATCATGTGACCATGTGTAACAGCCTACACATATAAACCAAGTTCCTTTTTCCTTGCCTCCTTAAGTCAAGACAAATCTCTCACTGTAGGCCTGAAGGGACTGTTCATCATTACACCTCAGTGCTGGTGATGGCCAACCAAGAACCAACAATTCATACGCTAATTATGACACAGTTTCATTCAAATATCTAACAAGATGAAATGGTGACATTTTAATCCATTCTTTCCAATGGGAATCTCTGTTACATCCTATGTGCCCTTGAAACTCCTCCCCTCCCTCCATAATATTTCGGTCTGGAATTTGCCTCGAGTACATTAAAAACATTGAACTTTTGCAGTGGATTTCGGAGAGACCATATGACAGTGTGCTAGCCTAGCTAACATGCTATTTTTCTTTAGTTCAGTTGCCTGTGTTGATTGTCACGTGAGTTTGTATGATTAAAAAGAATGTGTTTATCTAGTTTGAACACATTTTGAATCTGAGTAATGTTATTCTACTAAAACATGGTTATACATTAAATACAGTCAGATCGTCATTATGACTTGTTCAGCCATTCATACGCCTTTTTAAATACTTCACACAGCATGCTACGTTCCTGGCAGGTCCTGTTTGTTTTTGTTTTTGCGCATAATCCAAACTACTGGATGGTGGAAATTGGACAAAATTAGCCCCTCCCCCATGGCTACAGGTAGTTTCTACCCTTAACTTTATCCTATATTGGAGTTATGCTATGTAGTGTGTGAGATAGAGTATGGTGAATGTGCAAGGAAAGGTAGTATCAGCACTGCTTCTACCTGGAGCTCGCATCAATGGAGCCTGGGTTTGTTGAAGGTGGCAGTGCTGTTTGGGCTGAGAAAGCCTGTGAGTTTATCTTCTCTATCTCCATTAACTTTAGCTTATATTGGAGTTATGCTATGTAGCGTGTGAAATAGAGTATGGTGAATGTGCTAGGAAAGGTAGTATCGGCACTGTCACTACCTGGAGCTCGCATCAACGGAGCCTGGGTTTGTTGAAGGTGGCAGTGCTGTTTGGGCTGAGAAAGCCATGTGTAAGTAAGTTAAAGGAGGTTGTTGGGTTGGTGCGGGCAGCAGTCTCACACACAGAGCTGGCATTAGGGGAGTGTCTCTGGGATGCCAGAGATCACTGTCTAGCCTCCTGGAGGTGTCGTGGGACCAACTAGACGAAACACTGGTGAAAGGAGGTTCCCACCTGATGACCCCAAAGACATGTTAGTTATCACTGCTCACTGGTCTGTATAGTTAAGCCTTGCCATAATAGCTTATCATAGGGCTTAGGAGGTTATTCACTGAGTGCTGATCCTTTCTCAAGAGCACAAACTTCTTGTGTTTATTTGAACTTCTATCAGATTTCTATCCATACGTAAAGAAATGCACTTCCTTGCGTTGGACACTGGAGGCATCATCTGTATATTTACAGATCTGTGGACAAGGCATCAGAACATGCAGCTTTTTTGCAGGAACATTTGAAGCATTGTCAACTTTAAGAGTCACGTGTGCATATTTCTCCCAGTACATCCACAAATGTTGTTGTTTGATCTTCACAAGATTTCCTACAATTATTTTAAGGATTCATGGTGGTGTAACTTGTTTAACATGAAGTGCTATAACACTTCAACATAACATTTCATTTTGATGACATCAATTCTGAGAGATCCTGCAAAATGTTATGGAATTAAAAGTGGTGTTACACAGCAGCATGTTACTTATAATAGCTGGAACTCTGTGATCTCAGGTCTGACTCATTTGAAATCATCCTCGTACAATTCATTTCAATTAAAGTATGTGTGGAGATATTCTCTCTCTGAGTGCTTTCTAGTTCACTGTGTGTCTCGGTTTCTCTCAGTGCTGCTCGTGCTCTCAGGGGTTTACCGTTCCAGATGACGCCACGTTTTCTCAGGCTTTTGAAGTTCCTCCTCCTTCTCAGGCTTTTGTTTGTTGTGTTGTGTCTTTCCTTTATTGGGGGCTGCTCGGATGATGTAATCCCCGCCTGTTTTTTAATAAGATTTTCTATGCACCTGAATTCATCGGTATGCATTGCGCCGGTCTAATAAAGGGGCGCTTTTAAATTCAATAAAGTGTAATTTCCTCTGGCCTCTCTCACTGTTTGGCTCAGTCTCTTCTTTTTTCTTCCCTCGCTCTGTCTCACCTCCAGAATTAAAAGTGCTCTGCTTTTTGGCACGATGGTGAAAAGAAAAATCTGCCAAAGCATCAAAAACTTTTTAAGTGAGCAGCTCTCATCTCTCTGCATGAGTGTCTGGCATTAATCCAGCCTCTTTGTGCTTTCTGCGTCTCAGGGACGAACTCGTGGCAGGTCGTGTCTGCTGAGGGCGCCGTGGTCCAGGGAGGTTACGGCCACAGCAGTGTGTATGACGAGGCCAGCGGCTGCGTGTTCGTCCACGGTGGATACAAGGCACTGAGCAACAACAAATACGGCCTGGTGGACCACATGTACCGATACCACGTCCACACAAGAACATGGTGAGAGCACAGAATGATGAAGTCACTGTGTCATATCAATGTCCAACACTGAAACCTGAAGTCACACTGAAATCTATAGTGACCACATCAGCTGCCTGCATCACTGTGTATAAACCCAGTCATCTGTTATCTGAAGCGCTGATCTTGTCCAGGGTTGCAGTGAGCTGGAGCCAATCCCATCATGCACCAGGTCATAGGAAGCATGTATTCTGTGTAGGTTATCAGTCTCTGCAGGGCTGACACATATCATCACACAAACACATTCACACTGATGAGCAATCTTACATCATTATGTGGAACTGTGACCGAATTATTTACCTGGCATCAGTTTCTGAAGCAGTTTTAATAGAAATCTAAATCTATTATAATTTATTATATCAGATTTTACAGTAGTGTGAAAATGTTACGCATATTTTAGTTGATGTCAAACATACTTAAAGTTAGTGTTAGTCAAATGTTGCTTGCTTGGTTTGTGTGTGTGAGAGAGGAAAGAGTGTGTAACGTGTGTTTGTACACTGAACCATGCTTTAAGCCCAGTTCAGACCAAAGATTCACGACAAGACGAAACCGCTTTAGAACATTGCAGAGAAAAGTTGCAGCAGTGTCAACTGGCCGGTCTGAGCTCGACTCAATCCGGCTGACGGTGTCACATGCAACTCAGGTTGTCAGATCACTGGTGGGTGGTTTTAAAGCATGTCACCTGTTTCAACAGCCAATCAGCTTGTAGTGAAGTTTGCTGGTCAAGTCAAGATGACCGCAGATGGCGTGTTGGCTTGCTGCAGCAGGTGATTTGTCCCTGTTGAGCACTTTGTTTCTGTCCTCATGGTGTGCCGGTGTCGGACGGTGGGTCACTGCTGCTGCTGGCTGTATGTGCCTATGCCCCGCCCACACACACACATTCTCATTGACTGATGAATTGGCGCTGGTTATTTATATTATTGTGGTGTATTGATTATGAATACAGTCCATCTGATGCTTGTTTTATCACTGTAGCCAGTATCTCACTATCACTATCCTCATTCAGATTTTAAGAAGCTACAAATTATATTCAGCCACAAAATAAGTCTGAAAAGCTGCAAATCAGAAGAGTTGTTGCATAGAGATGATACACCGTCTCGTCTAGTTGCATTTATGTGATCTGGCAGGTTTTTCAAACGTTGCAGAGCAGCACATTGCAAGAAGTTGCCTGTTTCAAATTGTCTCGTCGCCAATCTTTGGTCTGAGTTTTCCGGGTGGTTAAAGATGCAGCGTGTGACGGCCCTCAATGCAGGTCATAGCTGGTGTGGATTTAAAACTACTGTCTACTGTCACACTCCATGTGTGCAACATGAAAGCAAAGTATCTAGTGTTTTTTTTTTCTGTTGAAAATATGCCATTTCATTAAAGGTGTTGCGCGCATACTGAAGTAAATTTGTGAATGTAGGACTTTACCTTATTTCTCTGACAAACAAAGATGCAATTTTAACAAACCCTTAAAGGAGCAGTCTGTTAGATTCAGGGGGAATTAGTGACATCTAGTGGTGAGGACTGCAAGTTGCAACCAGCTGAAACTTCTCTTGGATAGATTTCCTTCAGTGTTAATTGTTCAGGAGGTTTTTTTTTGGAGGCTAAATTATCCACAGAGGTCTCTTCCTTTCCAAAACAAATGTCTCAGGTGATTTAACTGGTAAGAACACTGAATAAAACAGTGTTAAGTTACAATTCAGTGTTTCCTCTATGCTGTTCAGCTCGTTGCAGACGGGCCGCTAGCCCAGCGCCTGTTAATGTGTGCTCAACTTTTTCTCTGATAACTGGTTTTTACTGGGTGCCAAATTATCCACAGAGATCTCCTCTTTACCAAAACAAACTGACTTGGTGATTTAAAGGAGAAAAAAACACTGAATAAAGCAGTTTCATATTAAAAAAATCAGTGTTTTTCAAAGGCTCTTTGCTGCAGAGGCGCTGTAAACTCTGGTAGCCGAGGTAGAACTAGGTAGACGAGATCAGCGTGCTTGTGTCAGAAAGAGGAGAGGAGTGTGAGAATAGACGGATCTGACAGGAGGTCTGACCTCAGGTGACCCCAGGCAGATGGATGGGTGAAACAGGACGCTGGGCTCTATCACTCTCCCCTCCATTCACATGTGTGCACACATGTAGACAGTAGCATATGCTCACATGTACACACACACGCACACACACACAACCTGCTGTCTCTCCATGGCTCTCACTTTCCAGATGGAATTTGTTGTCGGAGTCAGATGTCACTGGAGCTGCTGGACTTTTCAGATTCCCAGACTCAAACGTTTGTGGGTATTCCAGCTGTTCTGTTCAGCTACAGCGCAACGTAAAGATCAATCCACCCTGTCAACAGCTCTGTTTGTGTTGCTTTTGAGCTAATATACAGTGATAGCATGTAGTGTGCCTCACAGACTGGCCGCACACACATGTAGAAACACCTCTTGTGAGATTTCTGCAGTCCAGCCAGATCGATAAAGTGTTTTCCAGGGTCGAAACCAGCGTTTGAGAGTGCACATGCCTTACACCATGCTGCGAAGATGAGACTTCCATCTGTATTTTTTTCTGTCTTTTGACTATGAACTGCTAACCCCTCCCCTGCAGAGTCTGAAAGGTGGCTCTGAAGTTTGCAGCTTCACTCGTGTCAAAATGAGTGGAAACATCCAAACTAACTATTAAAACAACTCTTGCAGTGTAACCCACATTTGTGCTCTTAATCTGTATATCCGGGATATTCCATAGCCCTCATAGTCTTGCCGCAATACATCTAAGAACACTGCTTTTTATGGCTCCGTTTTTCCTGTTTGTTCCTTTAAGAAAAAGAAATCAAAGTCTGAGTCGAGCCGCTGCAGTAATTGAAGAAGCCACAGAGAGCCTCTACAGTTGGTGTCCGAAATGTGACCTTTGACCTCAAAGAGGTCACACACAGCAGACTGAGACCTCCTACAATGTCTGTCATGAGTGTTTCTGTATGTTTGCGTGTGTGTGTGTGTGTGTGTGTGTGTGTGTGTGTGTGTGTGTGTGTGTGTGTGTGTTCTGGTCCCATGAAAGAACAGTTGGTGTGAAGGGCAGTCACCACAGGCCAGGTCACACACCCAGACAGACGCCATCAATAACATGGCACCATGGACACACACACACACACACACACACACACACACACACACATAACTGACAAATTAACACTTTCCTAATATGTCTCCCTCTGCTGAGTTGCACTCCGTCCTCTGTGTGTTTGTCTCTGTGTGTGTGTTTGACATGTGTGTATGTGTGCAGGTTGATCCTCGGGGAGAGCGGTATAGCGCGGTACCTCCACTCTGCAGTGCTCCTGAGCGGCACAGTGCTGGTGTTTGGGGGTAACACTCACAATGACACATCGCTAAGCAACGGGGCCAAGTGCTTCTCTGCTGACTTCCTGGCGTACGATATCGGTAAGAACACGTCCTGAACAATCACACACACACCAAGTCTGGTACTACAATATGTTTTGCAGCAGATGTCACAAATATTAGGCCAACTTTTAGAGGCCTAACCCAGGGCTCCTTTCTTTAGTTGCATTTTGTCCTCTGTCACTATTAAAGTTCCTCTCCAGGCACTGACTAAACCCCTCAAACAAAAGATTCATGTCTGTTCATCAAAATTACACATTAAGAGTTTTTGTCATGAAAAAAAAACAAACATTTATGCCTTAAGATGGCTTCAGTATAACTCTACACCTTCGCCTCATTTAGTATGCACAGATCTGTGAGTATGGATATGAGTCCTGTCCCTCAGCCACTTGCCAGCGTACCTGCTCACTTTCAGCTCTGCTCATCAAACACACAAACCTCAATCCAATTTCCAGAGAAAAAAATTGGCATTGTACGTTTCTGCAAACCACTGATGAATTACATTTGCATGTTGTTATGTAGAGGATACATTTAAACTTTATCTTTCAACAATGCAACAGCGAAGGGGCGTCGGTAGCGTAGTGGATAGTGCCGGCGCCCCATGTACAGAGGCATTGCCTCGCTGCAGCGGCCATGGCTTCGAATCCGGCTCACGGCCCTTTGCTACATGTCAGTCCCCACTCTCTCTCTGTCTCCCCATTTCACTCTCTGTCCTGTCATTAAAGGCCAAAAAGCCCACAAAAATTATCTTTAAAAAAAAACAAAAACAAAAAAAAACAATGCAACAGTGATTAACAGGTGTTTAGGTTTAGGCACAAACACCATGAGGTGAAGGTTAGGAAACGATCATGTTCTGGCTTTACATAACACTTTCCGTGGTACTTTCGCTGCTGAAAACACAACAACGACTCACTAAACACATGTCCTGTACCCGACTAAGAAGTTGTCAGTTGAGTCTGGTTTGGCCATTTAATAAGAATATTCCTCCATATAAAGTTTAAAGTTTAACCGGGGCTCAGCAGGACGTTCAGTGTGACTGTAGCATTCATGTAACTTAGTAAACAAGCTAACGGTGGAACTCTAAAAGGTGGAGCTAGAAACACTAGAGGACGGTCACTCTGCTCAGGGCTGAGCTGTGGCTGGTTTGAGGCTCATGTAAACACTGTTCATACTGTGGCAAGTCTCACATATATTACTAAACTGTAACTATAAAGTGAAAGGATATTCTGCTGCCTCGCGCAGAAGCTGTAAACTAAAAATAACTTGATTCACCGGGCTGACCGCTGGTGACTTTTAAGGTGGAATGTTAACTTGTAATGTTACTCAATGCATGAGTTGATGATGTGAATCCATCAGCACACCTTAAATTTCACTGTGACAACTCTGACCATTACTTGAGTTTTTAATTGCCTCTCTTAGATGACACAGGCTTTTAGTAATGAGTGGATCTTCAAGGGTTTAAAAATATATATTAACTTGGACAGGACTTCGTGACCTGCATATATTCTAATCCTCACTTGGAGGAAAAAAAAAAGTGTTGTTTAGCGTCGTTCCTGTGGGCTACAGCAACACTGAACCCCTGAGCTTGCCTGAGAAAGACTAAATGCACAAAACAGCTATTTTTAAATATCCCATGGAGAGAGACTCTCACTGCAGCCTGTTCTATTTTGTTCTGAAAATGTGGGCGTGCAGCCTCGTTCTGTGGACGATAAACCAGGTGTAGACTTCCATCTGTGTCTCCGCTGATGAGGAAATACAGCGAGTGCTGGACGGAGCAGTGAGTGACAACAACCCCGCCCACATTTAAGAGGACTGTCTGAACAGACCGAGGGTCTAGGTACCAGGTCTGAAGGGTTACTGCTGGTTCCAAAGGTGGTAGTGGAGTAGTAGTGGAAACGTGGCTTTGTTGACTAGGAAGGAGTAACTTTTAACACTGTCTCCCAAGAACTAGCTCTGGTCTCATGACTCCAGTCCACCTTGATAGCCCCATACTGTTGGTGTCATCTCAATCAAATTTCTAAATGAATGAAGATTTCAAAAATTTCCAAGAAAATGTGCAGTGGAGTGACATCCTAAGAGCATATTTACTCACAGATATACCTTATATGTGATACATAATTTTGTTGTTTTTGTGTTCTCAGTCATTGCATTATCTAATATATTCATCATACTGACCACTCTGTGTTTGGGTGTTATGATAATTGAGGGTCATCACAGACAAACACATCCTACTAAGCCAGTCTTTTACTCATGATGACCCTCGGAGAAATTTGATTTCATTTGCTCTCATTAGTCATTCACTTTGCTGTCTTACACACAGAGACACACAAATGGTTTGTTGTTACCACTGATTCTCTGGTGTGAATCAGAATGTTGCAGCAGCAGCATTTGACGAAATGCCCGTAACGGTGCATACTGTATGAAGAGAGTCAGAGGAAGAGAAGAGCTTCGTATCAGAGCCAAAAGATAGCAACAAACTAATCATCTGAAAAACAGAAGAGTCTGTGAGGGAAAAACAGGAGTGTGTTCAGATACAGACGCTACTGTACTGTATAGGTAGAGAGTATGGATGATTAAGGATCCCATTACAGGCCACCCAGTCGCACCATAGACCAGATGGCATGAGGATGTTTCCGCCCCTCGACAGGGAGGGAGGAATGGAAGAATGAAGGGAGCTTTGGGAGAGGAAAAGAGGGATTACACCAACTCTTCACAGGAGAGAAACAACAGGGAGCACAGAGATTAACAAGAATGGAGACAGAGGGAGGGAAAATGAGAGATGGATGTGTATGCATGGAGGAAGGTGCTGTTTGAGTGAAGACAAAGAGGAACACGGGGAGAAACAAAAGCTCAGTGGGTGAAGCTGCCATGTCCTTGTAACATTTTGGTAAAGTTGCACAGTTGTTTTCTATATCTGTATGTTGGGAGGAAGAAAAAAATCTTCTGAAAGGATATCAGGTGAGAACCATAAATCACAGACCCCAAATATTGTATTGTGGTACTGTATGACAAGACAAATATGGCTTCCATTTGTATGCCTTTCAGTTTGGCATCCAGTATTAAAAAAACTACAGCTCCCAGAAGGTGGAGCTTCTACCACCAGAGTTGCACATAGGTGTATTACCTATTTTTATGTGTATATATACAGCCAGTGATTAGACTGAGATTGGTCACCCTTACCAGCCTGTCCATTGTTGTCTGATGAAGGTCGAATAGACCCAAAGCTCATCAGTAAAGTGACACTGCGTAGATGTCTTTTTGTACCCATCTGGACTCATTGATGTTTGCAGCACCCTGCCAAGACTGAGCCGGTGGAGCGGTAGCTTTTCTGCATCATCGACAACATATCCAGCCACAAGCTGGAGGTCAGGTGTATTTCCTGGTGCCTCACGTTGTTGTGCTGTTGCAGTAACCAAGGTATTTCAGACTGAAGGTTTAGGATGTGTTTTGTAGTGATTTTTGTGTTTTAGTCCAACAACCTGCAGCAACAGTGTTCTTGGCATCTTTCCTCCTGACAAAATCAAAGTAATGGGAATATTTCCAGCCTTGAAGGTAAGCGATTCCAACTAGCTTTATAGGCCCAATGTTGCAGCAGCAGCGCCAATCATCTGGGTAATTTCAAACTTTGGAAGTAGAGCTTTTTTTGCTTCACGCAACCCTAACCCATGCGTCATAGGAATGAAAGGGCCCTGCTGCTAATGCTGTATCCAGATCTCTTAATGATCTATGCTCGAGACATATGTGCTGTCGCTATCTTGGATTTTTTGGAGCCAGAAGTGATCGTATTTAAACATGAGGGTGGAGCTAACCCTAATGCTAGGTGCGAACTTGGTCAGCAAGATTAAGTGTGATAATGCTAATTAATTTCTACTGTACATTCATCATGTTGATCTGTTCTGCGCACACGACATCTGCATCCGCAGTGGCGGCTGCTGTTCTTTCAAACAGGGGAAGCTCACTTTAAGTTTGCATCATGAAATGTGTCATATAGTAGCGAGGCAGTAACTTGTAAAAGGAACATTAAATTGAAGCCGTTTATCAACCACACTCATGCCATAGAGCCAGCAACACACACCTAAAAGATTTTCAGATGGGTTTGAAAATGAGCTATATGGCTTATGGAAATAAGGAACTCCGGATGGCACTCTGTCAGAAGACTCCACTCGCAAATATCCACGTGGGACTGAGCTCGAAATGTGACGATGCCGGTGTGTATTTCCAAAGCGCTGTCCATCACAAAGGGGTTCAGCCTTTTAGACAGTTCCTCCAATCATCATGCAGACACCGAGCGTCCTCTCCTACCGCTCCATCAGGTCCCAGGGAAGCTGAGCCTCCCTGGAAATGACGATTTTGTCGCATTTATCCAATGACTGTCTCACTTTGCTGCATGAAAAAAACCTGCTCAGCGCTGTCTCATAGGAATGCTTGGAGGCTCCGCGTCCACCATGCTGACATGAGAATGTATGACAGGGAGGTCACGTTTGAAAACTGGTGATAAACAGCTGAAGTTTGAACATCATAGTCATGATGTTAAACGCATCCTAGAGCACGTTTAATGCAATGTAAATTCTTATTTTAATGTAAAATCAATAGTGCAGATTTGACCATTTCCTCTATGAAATTTAAGGGGAAGTTCAGCCTCCCTTGTTGTCTCAGAGCAATCGCCCCTGATTGCACGTCTGTCCGTCCTGGAAGAGGGATCCCTCCCTTTTCCCAGTTAAAGTTTTTTTGGGGAGTTTGTCCTTATCTGCTGTGAGGGTCCAAAGGACAGAGGGATTGTGATTTGTGAAATTGGGCTGTACAGATAAAATTTAATTGAATTAATGCTAATTTCCACTAGTGCGGGGGTCTTCAATGTTTTTCTCGGCCAAGGGTCCCTTTGCTCAAAAAGTGATGGAGCAGGGCCCTCTACAACATACACTGCATAAAACTGAGTTGCACTTGAAATAATTCCATGAATACTTTCAGGTCTTCTCTCAGATACTTTAATTTATTATTTCTTTCTGCTGTAAAGTTGGGCATTTTAACATACGGGGATTGAC